CTTTTGCAAAGATCCATCTCCTACTGACTCTGGATCATTCTGACCTGTTGCACATGAGCTGTGGATCTTTACAGAGGAGCTTGGGCTTTGGAACATGAAAATGAGTTGAGACAGCACAGAGAACACTATTATGGATGTAGCTCAGACCCAGACTTCCAAAATGGACATAGCTGAGTTGGACCAGGCCATTAGTGCCCCCAAAGGATGGGACTGTGAAGGTCTGTACCAGGCCATGTGCACAGAGAATCTCACGATCCCAGAATGAATTCCTAAAACACCTGAGCCTACATTGTCTCAGGCATTTTAGCTTTTGTCGCCATGGAAGTTCAGAACGTTATTTTACTGACGTTCTGCTTGATACAATCTTTTAACCTTGGGTATTTGAGACCTCTAGTATCCACTGTGGAATTCTCAAAGCCATGCTTTTCACAGGCAGCTGATTTCAGGTTTGTTTTATTTTTGGAGACTAAGGTGGGGAAGGCACAGATCACAGAAGCCGCAGCCCATTGTTTAGGACACTTGTTCTTCCGCTGACCACGTCCTTTCTCCTGGGCCAAATGCAGGGGTGGAACTCTGATGTCTCTTCACAGTAAGTGTCCCCACCATTAGAAACATGAAAGAGAGTCAAAGTAAATACCCCCTTTCTTCTGTTCAAAGTCTCCTCTTTCTTTTGTCTGCCTGAAGCATGTCTACAGGGCCAATACACTCTCCCTCCATTGTCTCTTGCACCAAAGAGGCCAGTGTCCCCATAAGTCAATTATGGAGGGGAAAACTCATAAGGCAATGACAAGGAAGCAAAAGCATGAAAGGCCTCACAGACTCTTAAGAACACGGGCACACTGCTACGCCATGAGAAAGCAAGGACGGGAACAATTCCTATTTGAAATACGAAGATTAGAGTGTGGAGAAAGCTAAGATGTGGGCATTTTTCAGGTAAGAAAGGTCAGAACAGGCTCTGAAACTAGAGTGGTTTTCTTGTTCATTCTTTTTAATTATTATTTTTGGAACACTGGTCTAAAAAATCTATTGAGTGCCCAGAGCTTAATGATGGCTTAGGGGAGCGTGGAAGATAATGCTGAAGGAGACATGGACTGTGGAGCTATTGCTCATGAGGTTTCAGAAGGGAGTGAGGATGTAATTAATGACTGGGCTATGGGCCACCCCTATCATATTTTGGCTAAAAAGTGCGATTTCTGGTCACGCGGAGTTGAAGAAGCAGCTGTGATTGTCAAAGAGGTGTGATTCCACTGAGGTGGGCCCTCTGTTTCACTAGGACAGTGGATGTTGGCCACCGGGGGCTTAAGAATCAGCTACTATTAATAAGAAGCCAGAATCATTTTCAAAATCTCCTGGGAAGTGTTACCTGAGGGTCAGCCCACAGAAGCTGGGGCCCAGGGCTAAGGCTGCATCTCAAGCTTGCAGTTGAACTTGGCAGTGCGTAGGGGTCACACACCTAGTACTGATTCTGAAGGCATGAGAGATGCAAGATTAAGGAGCTATGAAAAAAGTGTGTATGTGTGTGTGTGTGTGTGTGTGTGTAGAGAGAGAGAGAGAGAGAGAGAGAGAGAGAGAGAGAGAGAGAGAGAGAGAGAGAGAGAGAGAGAGAGAGAGAGATGCCTGGCTGTGAGTCTTTGTGTATATTTTGGGAAGTTTCTACTGTATTGTGTTTCCTTACTAACCCTCAAATGGCTGTTGATTTTAGCTGTCGCCTCATTTTCCCTCCATCAACCTCCTTCCCCATCCTCTTCCCTGCTTGATCCTCCAATTCCAGCCCACCCATCCATCCACAATTATCTATTCTATCTTTCTTCCTAATGAGATCTATCTGTACACTCAAGTCCCATACTCCATGCCTACCTTCTTAGGTTCTATAGAATGTAGCTTGGTTACAAATGACTTAACAGCTAATATGCACACATACTTGAGCACATACCATTTTTGTGTTTTGGGGTCTGAGATAACTTACTCAGGATGATTTTTTTCTAGTTCCATCCATTTGCCTGCAAATTTCATGACTTCATTTTTAACAGCTGGAAAATACTCCATTGTATAAATATATAACAATTTCTTTATCCACTTTTCTGTTGAGAGACGTCTAGGTTGTTTCCAACTTCTGGAAATGATGAATAAAGCAGTAATGAGTATAGTTGAGCAAGTGTCTTGTGGTAGGATAAAGCATCCTTTGGGTAGATGCCAAAAAGTAGTATAACTGGATCTTGAGGTAGATGGATTCCCATCTTCCTGGGGAACCTCCACACTGATTTCCATAATGGCTGTATAAGTTTGCACTCCCACCAGTAATGAATGAGTGTTGCCCTTATTCCATATCCTGGTCCGGCTATTTTTATGTCCAGTTCTTCCCTTTTGCAATAACAGCATTTATAACTTGTTTATATTTTTATAAAGTCCACCATTAGGAGATCTTAGACTTTTAAAGAGACATTAAACTTTTAAAGCATTGGAATCTTTAAATCCTATGAAATCTTAGCTACATACAGACTATGTCTTATATTATGATGTTAACATGGGATCTTAGGAGTAAGAAAGCAAAGGTTATGATTTAACCGTGACATGTTTGTGCAGATAAGAGACTGGGTGTCTTGGTTAGGTTTAATTGTCAACTGGGCACAGCCTAAGTCATGTGAGAGGAGAGGCCTAAATTGAGGGTCTGTGACCGTATCTGTGAGGAACTGTCTTGATTATTGATTGATGCACGATAGTCCAGCCCGCCATGGGCAGATGGTCCTGGACATTATAAAAAAAAAAAAGACCACATAAGCATGAGCCAGTGAGAGAGCCAGAGAGCAAGCCAGTCAGTAGTATTCCTCGATGGTTTCTGCTGCACGATCCTGCCTGGGTTCTTGCCTTGCCTCAGGAATGGACTGTGACCTGAAAGTGTAAGACAGATAAACCCGTCCTTCACAATCTCTCCTTTGATTCGAGCGTTTGATCACAACAGAATGGAACCAGAACACCATCTGACACCTTCTTCCCCTCCATGGCTGTGCTCACGTGTCTCCTCAGTGGGGTCCCCCTTTGCCACTGGAGTCAATATTGCGACCTTTCCCAGACTGCCTTGCTTCTACACTGCACTGATTACCATCTGACACATTCTATACTTTCATGTATTTATACATCACCCTCCTCCTCCAAGACACAAACTCCATGAGGATGGGCATTTTATATGTATGTCCACCTATCTGTCTGTCTGTCTGTCTTTTTTCACTATCATTGTTCCAGAGTGTAAATGGCTTTCTACCCATAGTAATCACTATGTAAGCATTTGTGAACCAGTGAATGATTGGCACTACCTTCTGCCCATGAGGCATCTTGGAATATCCAGCAGGAGGCGCTCTCGGCTCTGTTCTGCTTTGAAGCTACCTGGAGGGAGTGGGGACTATACACACCAGAGAGGGATGACAGCCAGAAAGAGGAGAGAAGTCTTCTGGGGGGTGATAATTGTGCCTTCCTAATGCTGCAACCCTTTAATACATATTGTGCCTCGTGTTGTGCCCAAAATTATTTCATTGCTACTTCATAACTGTAATTGTGCTCCTGTTATGAATCATAATATAAACATCTGATATACAGGACATGTGATTACAACCACACACACACACACACACACACTCAAAGGGATTGCGACCCACAGGTCTAAGGGTTCCTTCCTTCTTGGATTGGCATTTTGAGTTTCCCTCTGAGCAGGAGCCATGCAGAAAATATATAACCTCTGATTCTGAGGGGGAGGTCTTTGATCCTCACCTCCTGCTCTTCCTGGGGGCTGACATCACAAATACCTGCACAAATCCGAAGAGAGTAGGCAAGATATTCAGCCGTGAGACACATTCTGTGATTTTCCTTTCCTTGTGATACTAATTAAATCTCATTTATAAATCTGATTATATGATGGTGTGCTTGCAAGCTGACTGAAAGAAGGGGGGAGGAAAGAGGGAGGGAGAAATGAAAGAAGGAAGAGAGGGAGGGAGGGAGGGACGGAGGGACGGAGGGACGGAGGGACAGAGGGACGGAGGGATGGAGGGACAGAGGGACGGAGGTAAGGGAAGTAAACACTGGCCATTGGAGAACATGTTTCTGGTGTTAACACACCAGACAGCACCTGGAATGGGGACCAGGCCCCACAGACACTGTTGAGCCCCACAGATGTCCCTTTGGGTGGGCAGCAGGGACTGGAAATGTGGGAACAGAAAGAACCCAGTCTCCTGTGGTTTTTTCCAGATACAATTGTCTGAAACTCAAAGCACAAAGCTAAGCCTTTCTTTTAGCAAACCCAAACTGCTTCTTGTCTCCTGCCATTTGCTCAACAGGGAGAGAATGTTTTAAAAATAAACAAAAACAAAACCCTTCCCGGAAACAATTTCCCTGCATCAGTTGACACACAGGCAGGCACAGCCTCCACCCACCAGCTCTCGAGGACACTGATACGTCTCACCGAGAGGAAATTTCTGTCTTGTGAGACTTCGTTCTGCAATTACCATAATCTGCATTCTCCAGAGGCTGTGGCTGGGGAAGTGGATTAGTGCCAGAGCCTTTGGGAGGTCTCTGGGGATGAGAGCTGAAATCTTGAGCTTAGGTCATAAGTAAAGATGAAGGGAGCTGACCTAGCAGCTTATCCCCTTTGGGGAGCAATGAGAGGCACCGTGAGTTACAATTATTAATCTTGTTCAGAAGAAGGACCAACCAGAAGTGTGGAAAGTTGATCCTCGTCCAAAGAGGCTGGCACAGCCCACAGAAACCCTGACTCCTTGACTTCAGTCTGGGCCTTTTCAAACACAATGGAATTCTTCTTTTCTTTTTCTTTCCTTTTCCTTTTTTCAAAATAAATCACCATATGATGATGTGTTCACTGGTAGAAGAGAACATGTGATTTAGCAGAACTGCCCATTTGGGCTCCAGTTCTTTAACAGACATAATGCAGCCTGTGATAACCAGTACATTATGGGAAGGAAGACAGATAAACCTCCCACCTCCTCTCCTGACAGGTGTACTTCTACTGGATCTGCCGGGACGCCGGGGCTTTTGAGTGGTTTGCAGATCTCTTACTTTCTCTGGAAACACGGATGAGTGAGCAAGGGAAGGCTCACCTGCTGAGTTACCGTATATTTCTCACTGGCTGGGATGAAAACCAGGTATCAGTAAAACCAGAGATCTCCAATACTGCCACACTTTTTTTTCACACTTTTTATTTATTTATTTATTATTCGATACAGGGTTTCTATGTGTAACTTTGTAGATCAGGCTGGCCTTGAACTCACATAGATCCACCTGCCTCTGCCTCCCAAGTGCTAAGACTAAAGGCGTGCACGGTTAAGAGCCCTGTCTGCTCTTCCAAAGGACCCTGGTTCAATCACCTTGCTTCATTAAGGAATCCAATTAAATGGGGAGTAGCAAGCTTATCAGGCAACACCGAAAAACTGTCCTAAAGTTCTTAAAAAGGGAAAGGAGAACAGAATCAATCTAGGCTGGAAACAACTAGTTAAGATGTAGCAATAAAAAGACCTCTGGCTCTCTTACTGTGGAATGAAAAAGATAAGCATGTTGAGTGGTAAATGACAACCCAGATATTAGGAATCTTAAAGTTCGAATCTGTCATTTTAAGGGTGCCATCGGTGACTGTCACTAATTGGATGCATCATCTGTTGAATTCTTAATTGGTTCTGATGCTATGCTGCTCAGAGTAAAAGAGAAAAGATTCCCTGTTGCTTCTATCCGGCCTTTCATATTGAAAAGCATGTGATCCAGAAAATTACTATGGACGCATGATTTGCATAGAGAGTTCTCTTTCTTAAGGCACCGTGTGTCTTCTCATCTGAAGCCGAGCTTCATCTCAGCTTCAGAGATGACCTTCTGCTTGGGCAGGTGTTCTGCAAGTCATTATAGTAATGGAGTATAAAGATTGAGTTTGGCAAAAAAATAATGTGTCAAACCACAGAGAAACCCTGCTTCAAACCCACCCCCAAAAAAAATGATGTGTCAACACACCGACTATGCCAGTACTGACAAAAACTATCACACTCAGTTGTAAATGATGACTAGTGCCTCAGAATCCACTTGAACCCCCCCAAATATTGGTGTTAACAAAGCCCTTACACTAGGTTATGAAATGTGTGTTTTAAACAGTGCTTTCTGTAGATGATATGTAGATGATGTCATTAATGTATACTTTTAAGGAAAAATACGTTTAAGCCAAAGAGCTTTGTACCAAATTTACACCAAATTTACAAATGATTGTTCTGTGTGTTTTGTGAATCCTCTGTCTCTCTGTCTCTGTCTCTGTCTCTCTGTCTCTGTCTCTGTCTCTGTCTCTGTCTCTCTCTCTCTCTCTCTCTCTCTCTCTCCCTCCCTCCCTCCCTCCCAAATTCATTGTACCTTGACTGTGTGCTTCTGTAATGAATAAGATTCTGGATGAAATTCAAAAAGTGTTATGAATTTTTATGGTCTTAATTCCAGTCCTCCTTAAATATTTAAGCCTCTGGGATAATTTCAATTGTAGGTTTCTTGGGAACTAGGCTTGATAGATCTTAATGAACTATATAGTGTTAATTATGTTTTCCAAACAAACACTTCCCCTATCCAAGTGGGACTGTTGACTGATGGTCCGTTTTGGTGATGCCTTTGTCTTTCCCTTCCCAGCCCCTTGCTTGCTCTCCCGCTTCCAAGGCAAACTGCTCCCAAGTGTCCACTTAGCCAATCCCTGTCACTTGGGATTCATGAGGCTCTGATTGTCTATACAGACTGCTAAGTGGATTTTGGGACAACACAACCATGTCCTGCCCTATCTTTGCCCTTTTCAAGACTAAGATATACAATATACTTTTTCCCTAAATGAATATAAATTAAAGTTAACAGCCTCTTAAGTTTCCCCATGATATGTCAGAAATTCCTCATACTTTCAGATTTCAAACAGGAAATCACTAATCTCCACAAGTAAGAAAAAGAAATAGCTGGTGCATTCTGTCAGTAACTCAAGCACTGAGAAGCTGTTTTAGAAATAGCCGATTTTTTAAGCTGAATCCAACAACCTCAAAGTGGCAAATTGACAAGAACAGAAGGGACAGATGGGAGAGATATTATGAAGGGCAACTCAAAAGAGTTTGAGATTAATTGAATGGGGGGATGAGAAATATGGAACAGATATGATTCCAAATGTTTAAACACCAGAGATTGGGCGTTCCCACAGACATAAGTAGGGAAGGCCTTTCTTCCCCATCAGATAAAACGGTATTGGTAATGTCTTAACAAGTACTTTAGGGACCTCCTTAGCCTGACCTGTTTCTAGGCGAGCCTCACTGTTTTCCTGTTGCCCCAGAGCTGTTAGACTAATGGACACTTATGCATCCTACTGTGTGTGTTCAGGCTTTCAAGTCTTTTGCTCCTGGTGGTTCTTGTCTCTGTCGGCCCAGATCCTCTTCCTTTTCCTCATCTTCACGTCCTGTTCCCAAACTCTTTGGCCATCTGAGCACTGTTACCTAAGGTCAGACTTGCCGGACAGCAATTCCCTGTAGCCTGGCATTCTGAAGGCCAGACTGCCCTGTCAGGGCAGGTTCTGTGACTTGGATGTAAACCTCTGGCACTGGATGCCTTCTTAGAGTAGGAAAAGAACCATCCAGGCAAGTCACGCTCAAACAGGACGCCACGGTACCAATTGAGCATGGCAGGGCTGTAAATTCAAACTGCCACAACTATCCAAAGTTAGAGACTGAGAAAAAAAAACTGGCGTGTGAGCTTCCGAGCCAGTGATGGTTCTTTGGATGGTGCAGAGCACATACACCTAGAGCAGGAAGGGCCAGGTAGCTTCTAGAATTCACAGGGGCCAAAGGCGATGATTGTACTTCAGCTCGTGATTACAAGGATTACTGTGCCCCGGGCTCTAATTTACCGGGCCTCTAATTACACAAGGACTGGGTGAATTCACTGGGTTTGAAGTCAGTCACTTACAGAGCTTCATCCAGAGCCCTTTCTCCTCTGTCCCCAGCGTCCTATCACACCTTCATCAAATGTATCCCCCAGCACTTGAACCCTAACAATATACTGTTGGTTCTCTACAGTTTTGAGACCTCAACCAACTGAGGACTGATAATGATAATGTTTGAAAAAAATTTATCTTCCCTGAAAATACATATCTTCTTCTTTCTTTACATTATTCCCTAAACAATACAGGACAACAACTCTTTACCTAGTAGTTGTGTGGCAATAAGACTTTATAGACCAAAAAGATGACTTCAAGTATATGAGAGGATGTGGGTAGGTTATACAGAAATATAACCTCCACAGGTTTGAACCTCTGCAAACTTTGGTATCTGGGAGAGGGGGAGGTCCTAACATCTGTGAATGACTGTCCACCAACCATGCCACCACAGTAAGCATATCCGATTGTAAGATCCAACTCACAACTGGCAGAAAGAAAACTAACTTGTTCAGTGCTCTCCTTTAACCACGTGTACTGTATTACTCTCATCCTTTCAAAGAGAACCATCCTTTCCAGGCTATGTCTTTGCATGTCTGCTATGTACAGAGAAGCATTTTGTTCCAACAAGAATAAATACAGAGACAGATGAGACATGATGCTTGCCCTAAAGCACAACATTGGAGACATCTGCCCATAAAGCATTTCAAGCCCTGTTAAAAAATATTTTAAATATACAAATGATGATAGTGAGATTCATCTTTTATTTATAGATGGCTGTTACGGCTGTTTTATAATGTCACCTGATTTTTTAATGCAGGCTATTCACATAGCTTTACACTGGGATGAAAGCCTGGACGTGATTACAGGCTTAAAGCAGAAGACCTTCTATGGGAGACCCAACTGGAATGATGAATTCAAGCAGATTGCCTATGATCACCCCAGGTGAGCAAAGCCAGCTCCCTTTCCTCTGCCTGCCAGGATCCCCCCTCAAGTCCAGACAAGCTGTCGCTGGAAAGAAAAGTTAATCTGCAGTCAGAACTGGGAATCTTGGCCCAAGACAAAATATCTTCCTTAGAAAATATGACCGTGACTGTCTTGTATTCCAGGAACTGCAAACCTCTGTTTACCTGCCTGACAGACTCAGGCAATCATTGATTATGCTGAAAATCTTCACACTAAACCTCAATTTAAAGATAGTATTTCTTGAACAGCATATGCCTTCAAAAAAATCTTTTGAGCACAGTTAGTCTCTAATTACCCAACTAGAGAATTCAATTCCATCCAGCTCTACAGTGCGTCTAGCACGTCTAGCAGGAAAGCAAAATGAAAGTTTTCTCAGACAAAGAAGGGATGAGGCGTCATGCTAATGGACCCAGATCTAGAGACAGGTGTTTAAGCATCTATCCTGGCTCTGCCATTCCTGCTGGCAGACATAGGCCATCTACCTACCCTGTGCTGACTCTGTCTCCTCCTCTAAAAACTGTAAACAAGAGCACTTGGCTCCTAGGTTTCTACAACAACATCAACAAAAATGAGCAAAGCATTTGAGTGTCTGAAGCAGTAACCTTTCACTGCTGACATTACTATGGTGCTCATCAATTCAGTTGTTCTGACTATTATAACTACATAATAAGCTTGATTGTAAGAAGGGCCTTGCCTTGGGGCCACAAAGACTAGAGTACCTGTGACTCCTGATCCTAGAAGCTTCTATCTAAGTGACCTTGGACAAGGTAGCTTATTTTAGCTTTATTTTTAGTGTAAATGTGATGCTCAGGGGAGTCCATGCTCAATGCTGTTTTCTTAAGGTAACACGGGCAGTGTTGAAGAGCTTGGTAAAGTGTAACTCACTAAGACAAAGAGTTATCCATCCTCACCACTAGGTCATTCTTTGTCCTGGCCTGCATCTGTCCCATGCACTGACACTGTCTTCATGTCTGACGAAAGACTCCAGGGAGGTAAAGAGGTGTGTCATGTGAGCAACTAGAAACAAGCAGGGGCCAAGACCCTGAGGCAAGGGATATGGTTCCTGTCATGATTCAAGGGACCAGTGAGTGGAACAGAGGAGATGAGAGGAAGAATCCCAAGAGATGGCATTTAGGTCAGGTGACAGCGAACATCATCCTAAGACTTTGAATATGATTCCTGGAGAAAAACCACTGAGAGGAATAAGCCCAAGACTGACAGGGGATCGATCGCCCTTGTTGCTTAAGAAAACAGACTATCATGTGCTTAGGGTAGAGGTAGAGAGGTCAGTGAGGACAAGCAGTGGTGGCAGTCTGGTAGGCAGGGAGCCCTGGAGGGGGCCATGAAAAGCAGTTTAACTCCGAATACTTTCTGAAGGCATGGCTTGTTGATGGACCGAGGCGTGACCCAAGTTAGAATGAACCCCCACTCGTTAGCATGGCCCTGACTGTCAGGATTGCAGTGTAGTAGACAAGGGATATGGGAACTTTCACTTTTGATGTTCTGCTTGAGATACTTCTTAGACATTCGGATGTCCAGCAGGTGATGCATGAAGCGGGATTTCAGGTGAGGACTTCAGTTGAAGGCATCAGCATATAAACTGTGTGGGGAGGCACAACACTACAGCAGGTGATCAGGAGAGAAAGGCAAGAGTCCCAGGATACGCTACATCCAGGGAGTGAGGAGCCATAATCTCTGTGTGTATATTACGAAGTTTAATATACATTACTCTTATCTACCGTGGCAATCATGCCACTTGGGGCATCTGGCTTTTTATCTGTTCCCTTCACCTGTAAATTAAAATCTACTCCTGTGATTCTCACCACATCTCCATTCTCCATGGCGGCCTGTGCATTTTCTCACTGGTCTTCCTTTGTGGGAGCCATGCTTCATTAATCTCTCTGTAGTTTCTGCTCTGTGGAATTCTTTTATGGTTAAAGATAAATCATCTTTTGGTCAATTCAGCTCCTTTTCATATTTTCCCTATATTTTCTTTGTGTCAGGACTATGCCATCCTATCACTATTGGCTGCCTCTGTGTCTGTCTGGCTTTATCGAACCAGCTATTTTGACAAGCATTGGGTGAGGAGGGGAAGTGGGGAAGGCGTGATCAGGTAGCATCCGAAGTCCATGAGCATCCAGTCGCAGTATCCTCGGTCCATTTGAAGTCACTCTGGCTTCCACTGCCCCATGTGCTTCGAGACAGACACTGCAAACAGAGGGTACAGCTTGTCCTCAGACAGCCTGCCAGGGAAACCTTGTACCCAAGACAAGAATGTTCTGTGAGTGGCTCAAGACTACTCAGCATACAGCCAAGGGGAGAAGTGAGTAGAAACTTACATCGATCTAAGAGGGGCAGCATTCTAACAAGAAAGTCAGGAAACAACTTCACTTCTAAAGGAAAAGTCAAGGGAAGCAGCACACAGTATGGCAACCTAGCTTTTCCTCCATGAACTCAGCTTCAGGTGCCTTGTCAGAGCCGCCAACCCAGGACAAGCGGCATTGGGACTCTTTCCCGTCATCATGACCTAGCACTCACTGTTTCCTGTGCTTTTGTGTTGGCTCTTGTTGGTGTCCAGCTTTGAATCCGGTACAGGAGCATCACCTTGTCTCCAAACATGTGCGTCCATCCCCACAACCCCAGCTCAGGAGTCTAAGAACTCAGGTCCTCTCAGACCCCAACTCAACAACAAGCAATGGGTCTCAAACTCCCAAGTCTCTAAGGTCGGAGAGAAGTGTCCCTCACCTTACACCTACCTGTCTGGTTCTTGTCCAGAGAAAATGGAATAATTTTATATGCAAGAACCCTTAGGACAAAAAAAAGCTTATATGTAGAAATCATCATGTTGTAAGCTCATATGTAAAGCCTGGATGGTTTTGTTCCTATTTTCTCATTTGGGAGAAAAAGTACAGTTTTTTGGACAAATCTGTACCTTTAGTTTTCACTGATCACAAAACGAATTGTGAGACAAATGAGGGGGAATGGCATGCACACATATGTGTGGAGGCCAGAGGACAAGCATGGGTGTCATTCCTTATGTGTATACACCCCTAGTTTTTGGACGGGGTCTCTTTTGACTAGACTAGAACTCCATTTCCAAGTACATTGGGTTGGCTGGCTAGTCAATGGACCTCAAAGTGTCATCTGTCTATACCTTCCCAGCAACTGGGATAAAAGCACACACCAACAAGCCTGACTCTTTTCATTTAGGCTCTGGCCAGCATTTTTCAATGAGTTATCTCCCTAACCTATCTTTAAGTTGCAGATTTTTGAAACATACATCTTTTAATTCTTGTAGATAGCCTCAGTCTTTAGTATGATTTTCCTGCATCGATACTGCACTGTGGTCATCGTTGTCACAGTCCAATGGAGAAGGGCCTTTCAAATCCTCTCTCTTCACTTGGAAGGATGTGAGCCAGAAACACAGAATGTCAATAAGTCAAAGGCAAAACCAGCCTTGTGCAATCCCTGCTCAGAAAATGCTGCTCTGGAGAGAAGTAACCCTGTCCCATGTTTGTAGAGACTGAAGAGTTGAGAACAGGTCTATCTAAGCTGGAAAAAAAACTATATCACTTTCATTTTCCCTGTCACTGTTGTCAGGGACATGTACACCCTGTACCAGAACCCACCACCAGAGCACACAGTTGCCCTTAATGTCTAGCTGCATTTCTCAGCATGGTAGCTGTTCAAACTCTTTCTCTGGTTCTTCCAGAGGAGAGCAGATCCCAGGCATTACGTCACCTCAGAACCAAGACATTACTGCCTACTTCCTACCTGAAAAAAATAAAAAAGATTTAATATCAGATTTGTAAAGCTTGAGACTCTGGAACACATTGGCTTATTAAATAGCTTCAAGCATCAATATAATTAATATTAGATAAATCCATGCAAAATCAATCATTATTTCATCTCTGGGATGCCAGGTCCCTGGAACATGGTAAATCTGCAGTGTGAAGCTTAGTATCGCCCTTCTAGAAGACTTTTAAAATGACCTCCTTAAAATCATTTTTTTCTGTTTTTCTTCTGTGTAAAAGGAGATTTATGCTTAATGAAGCTTTTAATGAAGAAATCACAGAAGGAGAATGCCAATAAAATCTAATTTTTAAACAAGAAAATCTAATATTGAGAAGTATTGCAATACGCTGGCCTTTGTCCAGATAGAAATGAAACACACAATCCAATCACTGCTCTGCACAAAGGACAGAGTAACATTAATTTTCTTCAAGATGGTTATTAGAGAGATAAACAGTATGTTCTCCCCTTATTATGTCATGGAGATGTTTGTTCCCAAGCCCACTTGGCTATTCTCACAAGGCAGGCTTGTCCTGCCATTAGCTGGTATCTTTTGGCAAAGATGGGTCAGGAAGAATTGCTGGATTTGTTGGTGGCCTCAAAAGATCCTTTGTTCCCAAGAGCCTTTGAAGTAGGCTCTCGGCCATTGCTATTCCCAGGCACAAAGCTAGGCATTCTTAGCACAAACTCCTGTAATCACATTTACCTGCTCACTCAAAGCTAGAGTTTCTTCCTGCCCTAAGAAAGAGTTGAATCAAAAGAACTGAGGGGAGAGGAGTGAAAACAAAAAAGGAAAAACTTTACAGAACATGAAAAACAGCACCAAAAATAAAGCTTGAAGGGAAGCAGATCAAAGCGGATTGAGCAAGTTCTAAAGGAGCCAGAAAATTGCAAAAATAACAGTAATAGAGAAACAAATTGATGGCATCAGAACGAATACAAATGAGGAACAGGAGAGACAATTTTAGAGTAGATCAAAGACAAGGAGCAGAAAAGAGGGAAGTGTTTTCTAATGTTTTTATCTGTAATTAATTTTGGTAATTATACCAGTTGATTTACAAAAACAGGAGTATACACCTAAAAGACAATCAGCAAATGGCAAATGAGTTACATACCTAAAGAGGTCATTTCTTGCTGTGCCCAGACTCTCAGGCATGTGACAATTGCCAATTATGTCAACTACACAA